GTGTAACCCGGCCTTCGGCCGGGATTTCACTGCCGCAGTTAAAAAGGGTAGGAGAATTTACCCGCTGAGTCAAAATCTGCATTAGGTGAGCAATTCTATTCGGAGTGCCCTCACGCATTTAATAGTATCTTAAACAATAGTATCTTAAACAATTATAATCAATAAAAATTAACCCTTGTTAACTTCGTACAACACCCACATATATGAAAACATGATTACATTGTCGTATGAAAGTAAAAACTCTCTCTACAGTCCAAACAGACCGCTATGAGCGATCCCTCCCCTAATAAGATTATAGTATTCATGACAGTGTAATTATGATATATGTTCCAACGCTACATAATATGCAGTAAGGGGAGAGAGAGCAAGCCCCCTAACTCTTACTGTTTTCTTGATTAAGCTGCTCAAGCCATTTTATGTAACATTTGTGGTACAAAACCATCAATTAAACAACTTACTACCGACCGATTTAAAAAACCTTCACCATTTGTCTTCGTCAGAGTTTTCTCGGCACTATACCGAAAGATTTTGACTTCCAGTACCCAATTTGGTTTCATACCATCATCAATTAACTGACTAATTGGTTTCTGGGCACAAATGTCATCCAATCTGTCAAATGTGTGTTCAGAAATTTTCATATCTGAAAATGGGACAGACTTTTGAAAATACAACTTTTCGTTTTGTTAAGCTTTCTACTGATTAGGTTGGCCTTGTACCCGGCTATCGAGTACCGTCCTCTAACTCTCCAATAAACCCAGGCCAGTTTATTATGTAAAGAGTTACCGTATGATGTAAAAGTTACCGTCTCTGGATTACATGGGGACCCCAGGCTGATAGTGTTCATAGTTATAATTGATAATGGTATAACGCATGAGACAACAGTTCTGAATTCTCCTAGTAATATGTCAATTGAAAATTAAGCTACGACTAGACTGAACACTTTTTTAAGATTTTGAGAAAGATTCAGATGTTCTGTGATGGATTGTCTTAAAAACAATGAATTTAGGCACGTATTATGACAAATGAGAGCTTTGGACATTGGATAATGGATATCACTGATGAAATGGCGATGATTTGCAAATGAATGATGCAGATCGACAACAAAATAGATATACGATGAGTTGTTGTAGAGAATAAAAATATTATTTTGGCTACTTTTCCATCAACAACTTAATACGAGCTCTAATTTATCACTTTTTACTGATCAAAAACTTTAAAAAGCACCAACTACATACTTGGACGTATACTAATACTAATACTAATAATAATAATAATAATTTGGTCGACCGCAGTCGAGGAGCAGATTTCCCTGTCTAATTGCATTTCGGCCACGGTCCTTTCGGTACAGATTTCCCTGCAGTATAGTCGGGAAGCAACCCCAGACAAATACACTCGTGTAATATCGCAGCTCTAATGAAAGCCACTACCATTTACACCATGGTTTGGTGAGTGACGGCTGCCCTTCAGTTTTTGAGATTTTGGGCCAACTGGGATTCGAACTCGCAACGTCCAGGCCAGTAGACAGGCGGATTAACCAACTGAGCCACTGAGCCACTAAATACTAATAGTAATACTAATAGAACTACAATTAAACTTACTGTGTTATTTCTTTAAGAACAGCCTCTAGTTTGACTCCATAAGCGCAGATCCCGGCACAGTGGGCTATCACTGCGTTATCCTTCACTCGTCTGGGGCAAATATTCTAATTACTAATTTTCTAAATACCAATAGTTAATAGTTAATTGATATTCACAGTAAGTCGCAGTTTTACAGTAGGTGTAATGGGCTGCGCTTGGGTCATATTGAAATCTTTAATATACCACCATCGACCATAGTTTTAGTATCACACACCAAACCATGGTGTGAATGATAGTGGCTCTCATTAACAGAGCTGCGAAAATAACTCGATTGCATATGCCTGGGGTTGCGTCCCGACTGTGCTGCGGAGAAATCTGTACTATACCGAAAGGACCGTGGTCGCACCGCAAAAGAAAAAGAGGTCGTCCCCTCGTTCCTAGCTTGCTAGGTTCGCCATGTTGTTGTTGTTAAACATTGGATGAACATTTTTAAATTCTCCGAATTCGTACTTTTTCTGTCGATTTAAAAAATAATAATGTGGATGAAATTATATTTTTCCTGGCCAAGAGCGATCCATATTGATATACCGCCAGGGCAAACAATTCTCTATTTTTAGTTCTACAGCGTTGTTTCATGATTGTTTGATTATATAATTTGACCAAAACCCATAATCATGGGTAGAGTGAACCGCTGCCAGTGTCTCTCTTTTCCAAACAAAAGGAAATGATATTAATTTGAGGAACCGTCCGCAAATGCAAATTGATACCGAGAATGAAATCGGTCGCTCGCTTTTCCCATTCATTCACGGCTTACGAATTGTAATAAAGCTTATTGAATGGGAAAAGCGAGCGACCGATTTCATTCTCGGTATCAATTTGCATTTGCGGACGGTTCCTCAAATTAATATCATTTCCTTTTGTTTGGAAAAGAGAGACACTGGCAGCGGTTCACTCTACCCATGATTATGGGTTTTGGGCAACTTGTACGAACACCGATGGGACAGTAAGACAACATTAAGACACATTAAGACAACAATAAGACAACATTAAGACACCAATAAGACACATTAACACAAAAATAAGACAACATTAAGACAACATTAAGACAACATTAACGCAACAAACACCAATAAGACAACAAACGATAAGACAACATTAAGACAACATTAAGACACCAATAAGACAACATTAAGACAACATTAACGCAACAAACACCAATAAGACAACAAACGATAAGACAACATTAAGACAACATTAAGGCATCATTAAGGCAACAAATTCGTTTAAGACAACAAATTATGTATAACAGTATAACACTATTTCTTCGAATATATTTTACTTTGTCAAATTATATTTTACTTCATCAACTGAGTTAGAGTAATACGAAATTGTGACTTAAACTCTGAAAATGAAATAATTAGGTCTCATTATTTATCAGGTAATACAAATCTACAGAGCAATAAATTAATCAAAAATTCTTCTGAATAGGGCTGGGATATCTTGGTTGAAGGCTTTCCTCACGGAGGCGTTGTCTCTTGTCAGTCCGTATCGCTTACACCACATAAATTCTGACAAGGCTACAGTCATGGCTGCTGAATCCGTTCGGGTACGACCGGTTCCTCTTCGCATGTGGTTCTTAGCGTGGAACCACATCCCTTCGCAGCTGTTGGTGTGAACACCAGTGACCGGGTCCACAAATCCTCGACTATGGTTGACAACTTGATGAGGAAATCCGTGGTGTTGCAGGGCGTTATAACCTTTCCACTTGTCGGTGAGAATAGTTGTACCCGGTAGAACGTGCTCCTTGATGAGTGTGATTAGGGTGTTGTGATCGCGTCGATTGCCGGTACACTCCACTAAGAAGCATTCGCCAGTAGTCCTACAGAACCCACCCAGCACCCATTTTCCGACTACACGTCGACCTCTGTTATATTTTCGTTTACCGAATTTGGATTCGTCAATCTCCACTATACAGCCGACCCCACCAATCTTTCTACGTGCACCGTTGTCGAACAGGTCTTCAAGCATGCAATTTCGGATCGAGGAGAAGATGGACCGTACACAGCCGGTGCTGATGGTTATGATCCGTGCTACGTCGCAGACACTCAGTCGGTTGCAGAACAGCCAGATGATGTGGAGGAATACGGAGAAGGGTAGCTTGCGTTTGTGGAGGATACTCCCGGTTCTCACTGAGCAGAAGTGGTCGATGTCTGAAGAAGTGTCTGAACACTGCCAGCAGTAGCCGTCTGTGTACTTGCTCGTTGGGCATTTCTTCAAGGTCATAAAGTTGTTGCACTCTTCACAAGTTTGGAAAGGTCGCAGCATTCCGATATCCAAGCAGTACTGTAGACATTCCGTTTCCGATGATAGTGATCCGCGTCTTAGCTCTTCGTAGGAGGGAAGGGAGTTCATGTTGTATCGTTAGATAAAGTGTTGGTTTGATGGCCTCTATTAATACTATTTGTCACGTGAGCAGAACACGAACATCGGCCTCATTAATACCAAACGATCTAATCATGACGTGAACTGTTCGATTAATACCACATTCCATAAGAACACGAACAACGGCCCTCATTAATACCACACGATCTGGTCATGACGTGAACTGTTCGATTAATACCACATTCCATAAGAACACGAACAACGGCCCTCATTAATACCACACGATCTGGTCATGACGTGAACTGTTCGATTAATACCACATTCCATAAGAACACGAACAACGGCCCTCATTAATACCACACGATCTGGTCATGACGTGAACTGTTCGATTAATACCACATTCCATAAGAACACGAACAACGGCCCTCATTAATACCACACGATCTGGTCATGACGTGAACTGTTCGATTAATACCACATTCCATAAGAACACGAACAACGGCCCTCATTAATACCACACGATCTGGTCATGACGTGAACTGTACAATTACAAGCTGCGATCTGAGAATCGCTAACAAGATGTTACATTATTATCTGAGGTGATTTGACATGTGATGCATCGTAAAAAGTTGAGTGAGCCAGATGTCATTTAAAGTCACGTGAGCCATGGTGATGACGCGATCCAGGAGAAGTGATCTCGCTAACAAGATGTGACATAACAGTAGTTATATAGTATATAAACGAATGGAACTCACAGTCGATATCAGTTATCTGAATCGTTTACTAATCACATCCATCTGACTTTTGTACAACTGCTATGGTTACTAGACGAGGAACCCGTTACAGCCGACCTACTCCTGCACCGAAGTGTGCCCATTGTGCTTCTACTGGACACGTCGCGACCTCCTGTCCTAGGACAAGTTACATCGCTCCTTCTCTTCCTTCACTCAAATGCTCCAGTTGCGTCCTTGTTGCCAGAAGTGGCTACTCTGATGAACCTCTTACCCATCAGATTATCCTTACTATCGACCCTTGCCTTGCTCATGCATCCTCAACATCTCGCCCTTCTAGACCTACTACCTCTCTTTCACGTCGACCTCGACTCAACCTCCCTGGCATTCCTCCCCCAGCTCCTAGACTGTCTTCTGCTCCATCCACTTCCTCAACTGCATCCAATCCTGCTTCCCCGCCACCTCCTGCAGCTCCAGCAGCTCCAGCAACCCCTCCTCCAGCAGCTCCAGCAACCCCTCCTCCAGCAGCTCCAGCAACCCCTCCTCCAGCAGCTCCAGCAACCCCTCCTCCAGCAGCTCCAGCAGCTCCGGCGACCCCTCCTCCCGCAGCTCCGGCGACCCCTCCTCCCGCAGCTCCGGCGACCCCTCCAGCAGCTCCAGCGACCCCTCCTCCAGCAGCTCCAGCGACCCCTCCTCCAGCAGCTCCAGTGACCCCTCCTCCAGCAGCTCCAGTGACCCCTCCTCCTGCAGCTCCGGCGACCCCTCCTCCCGCAGCCCCAAATACACCACCTCCTCCAGCAGCTCGTCGGACACGAGTGAGGAACATCAGCATTGACGGAGCTTTGGTTGAATACAGGACAATACTCAACTTGACCATCAACGGGAAATCTCTTTCAACAGTCCTAGAAGAGAGAGGCATTTGTCGATCGCACTTCTACAGAAAAAGGTGCATTGCAGAAGCAGCACTCGTGGACAGACAATCCCTTGAGAGCTCGTTCCTGCAGCTACGTAAAGTAACGCTCCAAACCGTATACCCAGCGGCAAAAGATATCTGCAACAGAAAACATAGAGACCTAACACGCCTTTATGCTCAAGGAAACGCCCTAAAGCCTAAAACTCGTTATTAAGATATTTGTTTTATTCTATATTGTAAACCAGTTATTTCAGTATCAATTTATCATCATTATATTGTAAACCAGTTATTTCATTTAAATCAATTAAGCATCAATTTAAATTTCCGACTTTTAACTAGCAGTCCAAAGTATCTTAACAGATAATTTCAAAAATCTGTGTACTGCGGCAATGAAATCACGGCCGTATATTACATATTCTAAACATTTTGTTGCATTAATGTAGTCTTAAACGAGTTTGTTGTCTTAATGTTGTCTTAAATGAGTTTGTTGTTTTAATGTTGTCTTAATGTTGTCTTAATTGAGTTTGTTGTCTTAATGTTGTCTTAATGTTGTCTTAATGTTGTCTTAATATTTTATCCTATTTTGTTGTCTTATCGGTGTTTGTTGTCTTAATCTTGTCTTATTGTTGTCTTATTGTTGTCTTATTGTTGCCTTAATGTTGTCTTAATGTTGCCTTAATGTTGTCTTAATGTTTGCTTTAATGTTGCCTTAATGTTGCCTTAATGTTGTCTTAATGTTGTCTTATCGTTTGTTGTCTTATTGGTGTTTGTTGCGTTAACGTTGTCTTATTGTTGTCTTAATGTTGTCTTAATGTTGTCTTATTGTTGTCTTAATGTTGTCTTAATGTTGTCTTACTGTCCCATCGGTGTTCGTACAAGTTGCCGGGTTTTGGTCAAATATCATCTCTTTTTGATTATAATGTCAGGATAATTTACACAGTCGAAACTTCATGAATAACTATAGGGAGGTAATTTCAACGATTTCGAAATTTTACCTTTGAAAACATTTCCTTGTGTTTAGGTATATCTGTCAATAAAAGACTGAATATGGCACTTTTAACTCATTCAAGTTGGCATTTAATTCATATATAATGCCATTTAAATATCGTGGGAAAGCAGAATATATTCGAAATCACGAATGAGCAAAACTCTCACCTTTCGCACGTGCAAACTTTGAGCGGACGTTGCGTGCGCATACAATATTGAATCACCGTAAATTTTTGCATAGTGGTATTTTATATATAGTTTGATAAGCATGCAAAGTTTCAGAAGATTTCAAAAAGTACTTGGATCACAACGGGACTCCAAAGTTGATATAAATCGTGAAAATAACAATTTTCAGTGATTTTAGCTATTTTAAATAATTTTGGGCGTGTCCCCACGTGTGCAACTTTTCGATTTTCAACTTTAAAACTAGCCTATAACACAATTTAGACCTTTAGGAAGCACAATTGAGCTCCACAACCCAAGGGATGGCCCAACAACAGAGAATACTAATTCACAACTTTTGTGTTTTTATAAAATTATTCTTCAAAAAAGCACTAACTTCAATAGCGAATATCTTTATGAAGGAGCAAGGAAGAAAAATTTTCCGGTTGATTTTCAGAATGCTTTAACAATTATCTAAGATAAAAATGTCCTCAGATTTTGAATAAAATTACTCCTTAATGGTTTAAAATCGATTTGAAAAATTGTTATTTTGTCAAAAATCAAGTTTTAAAAACACTTAACTTGATGACGTCATCAAGTGATGATGATGACGTTAAATTATTTTTCACTATAATGTAAACTAAAGTATAAACAATTATCTTTAAAACCTGAGGTTCGAAATGACTGTATCTTTTATACTTTTGAATCTACAGACACTTAAATGTAGGCTACAATTGACTGCCAAAAGCGTCTATACATATTATATACTATTTGACCAAAACCCATAATCATGGGTAGAGTGGACCGCTGCCAGTGTCTCTCTTTCCCAAACAAAAGGAAATGATATTAATTTGATTGACCGTTCTCAAATGCAAAATGATACCGAGAATGAAATCGGTCGCTCGCTTTTCCCATTCATTCACGGCTTTCGAATTGTAATAAGTTTCGATTGATTACATCAATCAGATGCTGTAAAAATCTCTTTGGTTGCGTTCGGGTCGATACCTAGTATTTCGGGGTAAGGGTGGTAGTTACTACTGCTGAAGTTTATTGAATCTTTATTGCCGAGTACAGCTGCCTTTGGGTAGTTTTTCATAGTCTATTACAATTGTAAATGAATGGGAAAAGCGAGCGACCGATTTCATTCTCGGTATCATTTTGCATTTGAGAACGGTCAATCAAATTAATATCATTTCCTTTTGTTTGGGAAAGAGAGACACTGGCAGCGGTCCACTCTACCCATGATTATGGGTTTTGGTCAAATATCATCTATTTTTGATTATAATGTCAGGGTACTTTATAAAGTCGAAATATAAACTGATATCTTCATTAATAAGGAGGAAGTTTCAACGATTTCGAAATTTTTCCTTGAAAAACATTTCCTTGTGTTTAGGTAAGCATATCGGTGATCACTGACTGGATATTCCACTTAATACTCATTCAAGTTGGCATTAAATTCATATATAATGACATTAAACTGTCGTGGCAAAGCAGAATTTGTTGGAAATCACGAATGAGCAAAATTCTCACCTTTCGCGCGTGCAAACTTTGAGCGGACGTTGCGTGCGCATCCAATATTGAATCGCCGTAAATTTTTGCATGTAATTGTTTTTTATATAGTTTGATAAGCATGCAAAGTTTCAAAGTATTTCAAGAAGAATTGTAATCACAACGGCACTCTAAAGTTGACAGAAAATGACGAAAACAGCAATTTTCAGTGATTTTAGCGATTTTCTATCAATTTGGGCGTGTCCCCACGTGTGCAACTTTTCTATTTTCAACTTTAAAACTAGCCTAATGCACAATTTATACCTATAGGAAGCAGAACTGAGCTCCACATCCCAAGGCATGGCCCAACACCAGAGAATACTAAATCGCAAAATTGACGTTTTTATAAAATAATTCTTCAAAAAAGCACAAACTTCAATGACGAATATCTTTATGAAGGAGCAAGCTAGAAAAACTTTCCGGTAGATTTTCAGAATGCTTGAACAATTATCTAAGGTAAAAATTTCCTCAGATTTTGAAAACAATTACTTTTTAATGGTGTAAAATCATTTTTAAAAGTTATTACTTTGTCAAAAATCAAGTTTTTAAAACGGTTAACTTGATGACGTCATCAAAGGGTGTTCATGACGTCAAATAATTTGTTTGTACAATGTAAACTAAAGTGTAAACAATTATTTTCAAGACCTGTGGTCGGAAATGGCTGTATCTTTTATACTTTTGAATCTATGGACAATTAAATACAGGCTACAATTGACTGGCAAAGCGTCTATCCCTGAATAATATGTATATATGTATATATCACGACAATCTGTCATAAAACAGGGGTTCTAGAAAACCCACTTCCCGATGTTCCTGAAACCTCAAACTTTTTTTGCAGTCGATTTGGTCAACGTCTAAACGCCCTGAAAAATTTCAGATCTCTAACTCAATTTAAACATGGTTTTTAAGGCACCTGAATATGGCGATTTTGGGTTTTTTACCGAATTTCGTATAACAGTGCTGGCGAGTATTTTATGCAAATTTCTTAAAAATCTCAACATAACTATTTTTTATTCCTGTCATCTTTGACATCAAATTAGAATGTTTTGAACTAAAATAAATCTGCTGAACGACTTCCGATGAGTCTTAATGTCTGAAAAACTCCTGCCGGAGGCGGCGGCCTTCGGCCGCCGCCTCCGGACAGAGTGCACGCTTCGTGTGCACGAAAGAGGCTTGTAACGTGTACCAAAGATGGTATAATAGTAAAGGGGGTATAATAGTAAAGGGGGTATAATAGTAAATGGGGTACATAGTATACCCACAATAAATGCAACGGTCGTGCTTGCCAGCACTGTGATTTGACCAAAACCCATAATCATGGGTAGAGTGTACCGCTGCCAGTGTCTCTCTTTTCCAAACAAAAGGAAATGATATTAATTTGAGGAACAGTCCGCTAATGCAAATTGATACCGAGAATGAAATCGGTCGCTCGCTTTTTCAAATCAATAAGCTTTATTACAATTCGTGAGCCGTGATCGAATGGAAAAAGCGAGCGACCGATTTCATTCTCGGTATCAATTTGCATTAGCGGACTGTTCCTCAAATTAATATCATTTCCTTTTGTTTGGAAAAGAGAGACACTGGCAGCGGTACACTCTACCCATGATTATGGGTTTTGGTCAAATATCATCTCTTTTTGATTATAATGTCAGAATAATTTACACAGCTAGTCGAAACTTCATTAACAAGGAGGTAATTTCGACGATTTCGAAATTCTGCCTTTGAAAACGTTTCCTTGTGTTTAGTTAGGTATATCTGTCGATAACCGACTGAATATGGCACTTTTTACTCATTCAAGTTGGCATTAAATTCATAGATAATGCCATTTAGATATCGTGGGAAGCAGAATATGTTCGAAATCACGAATGAGCAAAATTCTCACCTTTCGCACGTGCAAACTTTGAGCGGACGTTGCGTGCGCATACAATATTGAATCATCGTAAATTTTTGCATAGTGGTATTTAATATATAGTTTGATAAGCATGCAATGTTTCAGAAGATTTCAAAAAGAACTTGGATCACAACGGGACTCCAAAGTTGATAAAAATCGTGAAAATCAAAATTTTTAGTGATTTTAGCTATTTTAAATCAATTTGGGCGTGTCCCCACGTGTGCAACTTTTCGATTTTTAACTTTAAAACTAGCCTATAACACAATTTAGACCTTTAGGAAGCAAAATTGAGCTCCACAACCCAAGGGATGGCCCAACAACAGAGAATACTAATTCACAACTTTTGTGTTTTTATAAAATTATTCTTCAAAAAAGCACTAACTTCAATAGCGAATATCTTTATGAAGGAGCAAGGAAG